GATCTCCAAGATCCCCTTCAAAGTGCTCGATGCTCCGGAGCTGCAGGATGACTTCTACCTCAACCTGGTGGACTGGTCAGCAGGCAACCTGCTGAGTGTTGGCCTGGGAGCCTGCGTCTACCTGTGGAGTGCCTGCACTAGCCAGGTAAGTGGGGGTGTGGGTTAGATTTTAAAGAGGTGCGCTGCAGATAAGGAGTACTGGAAGTGCTTATTTTTGTGTTTAAACAGGTGACGAGGCTGTGTGACCTTTCAGTGGACGGAGACTCTGTTACGTCAGTGTGCTGGAACGAGAGGGTGAGCAAGCGACTGCTGCTTGTGTGTGGCACGAGAGAGGAGAGTACAGACAGGAGAACAATAATGTGTGGGTTGCTCGTGTTTTAGGGGAGCCTGGTCGCTGTCGGGACGCACAAAGGTTACGTTCAGGTGTGGGATGCAGCAGGAGGGAGGAAGCTGACCAGTTTGGAGGGCCACTCAGCCAGAGTAGGTCAGTCCGAGCAGGAGCGAAGTGAATTCAGTCAAATGTGATTTGTGCATCTCTCGCTGAGAAGCCGTTTATCCTGCTGCTGGTAGTGGTTTCAGGAACTACCGTCGCTCTGAGCCTTTAAGCTCATGCTCAGCTCTCTTTATCTGGGGCATGAGAGTAAGAGAACCTACCCTGTGTGCCCAAGGTGCCCTGGCGTGGAATGGGGAGCAGTTGTCTTCTGGCAGTCGAGACCGAGTGATCCTACAGCGGGACGTCAGAACGCCGCCTTCTGCTGAGAGAAGGCTGCAAGGTCACAGACAGGAAGTGTGCGGTCTCAAATGGTCCCCCGATCACCAGCACCTTGCATCTGGAGGCAACGACAACAAGGTGAGGCGACTAAAACAGCACATACTTAAGGAAAGTTTTAGGTTAGAATCTAGGTAAAGGTTCAAAGTAAGCAAATTCAAGCTGTATTGATATCTATATATTTTAAAGCAGCTGTTCGTACCTATTTAGCCTCTTCTAGGAGTAGCCCTTGAATTTTTGTTCTGAACTGAGTGGTCTCTTTTATATTTCTGCCTCCTTATAAAACAAATTGACTGGGTTTACACTAGAAAATATCGAGGGTGGTCTCTGCCCGTGGAGTTACCTGTGGAAATGATTCTAATGGCTGTCACAGCATGTTTTTATTGGCATAAACTGAGGTGTCAAAACTTGTCATTAAGGGTCTTTATGGAAGAAAGAGTTAAACTCAAAGCTCTCCTTACTGACCTCTTCCTGCCTTTTGAACAGTTACTGGTGTGGAACAGCTCCAGCCTTCTCCCTGTGCAGCAGTACAGTGACCACCTGGCAGCAGTGAAGGCCATCGCCTGGTCTCCGCACCAACACGGGCTGCTGGCGTCAGGCGGAGGCACGGCCGACCGCTGCCTGCGTTTCTGGAACACGCTGACGGGTCAGGCTCTGCAGAGCACAGACACCGGCTCCCAGGTCTGCAACCTGGCCTGGTCCAAACACGCCAACGAACTGGTGAGGAGACGCAGACACGCACTGCCCAACAGCACAGCAGCGTCTGGCTATAGATAATGTCATCAAGCTAGTTAGACCCACTTTGTGAACACAGTAGCTCAAACATTAAATTAGCAAATCAGATCCCGTTTGGACAGCTTAATATAGAGCCAGTTACTAATGCGCACATTGCACCTGTGTTGTGTAATGCAGCGTTCGGTTTAGCTGGAACTGCGACCCCTGATGTGCTGAGTCATGGTCAGTTTTCATACTAGCCGGTGTTGGTTTTGTATTGAATTACATGATACTTGAAAGGCGTTTCTACTGTGCACACATGACAAAACCCTGAATTAAAACAGCTTAGTTACGCTCGACGCCCAGAGATGGTTGCAAATTGAAGTGAGCAGTATGTTGAAGGTGTTTCAAACTAATAAAGACTTCTGCAGTATGTTATTAAATTCCAATATTATCGTCTTACACTGGTGTTTTCTTGGAAAGAGCATAACCATCCAAATGTGGTCTGAAATTTCATTTCACTAGCTGGGCCCACGTCCTCATTTATGTTTGACAGCGTTTTAGCAGGAAAAAGTGAAAGCTTTGACATGAATTGAGCTGCGGTTTGGGGAAGGAATCGAAGGGGACTGACGATGGCTCCCGGGCCTGGTAGATCCCTATGCACTAAATAGAAGTGAAGAAGTTGAAGAATGGAGAACAAGGAGGGAGGGAGGGTGGGGCACGTAAACGAGAATGATCAGCTTGCAGAACTAGGGGAACCTCGTGTTTGGAGGCGTGGTCCTGCTCCTGAAATTCCGATACATAATCTCCAATAAAAGTGGTGTTTAACTTCCTTTTTTACTTTTGCTGTTCAAAGATCACTATGTCTGCATAAAAAAAAATCAAGAATTCATACACTGCTTATGTTTAAGTGCCGTTCCACTCAGGAACATCAGTACCGCATCAGACGCTAAACTGATGACGATCTGTGCTGTTTGCTTATTACATTTTTTTTTACAAAATCATCAATTTATATATTTATTATGCAATAAATCAGGATGGGACATGGTTGGAAGCTCCCCCTTGAGTGCTTGGCAGAAGCATCCAACTGCAAAGTGGTAACTGCAATGCTGCTCTTTGTTTGCAGGTGAGCACACACGGCTACTCTCAGAACCAGATTCTGGTGTGGAAGTATCCATCGCTGACACAGGTGGCCAAGTTGACGGGACACTCCTACAGAGTCCTGTATCTGGTATGATTACACGTTCTAAACGAATCACTGTGCATGTTCAGCACTGATGTAACTAGATAGTTGCACTTTGATAACTTACACACTTCTAGCGTTGGAATACATTTTAATTCAGTGTGTAGCAACTAGGGATGGGTACCGGTGTCCGGTGCCATGATGGCACCGGTTCTGACATAAACGGTAGTAACCAGACCGAAAAGCAGCGCACATTTCGGTGCTTTATTTCGGTGCTTTTTTTTTTCTGAGCTGTGATTAGATTCTAGCCAATCATTTTACGTTTCCGAGGATAGTAGGCGGGGCCAGGTACGTACGTTCTTTTAGAGCAGAGCTACAGATTTAAAATGCCCAAGGCAAAGCGGTCAAAGTCTGGCTGTACTTCACAGCAAAAGATGCAAACTCAGCAGCCTGCAACAAGTGCTTTAAGCTGATACTGTGATACTGTCAAAGGAGGTAACCCTCAAATCCGATGAAACACCTGGCGACGCATAGCGTTTTTTTTAAAAGCCGAGAAATGCGCCGTATTTGATAGCTTGCTGCGAGACCTCACACCGAGCACATCTACTGCGGGTGGGTTGCCAGTTATCGGACCCGGAGCAACATCCCCCAAAAACCCGAAGAATAGAGTCCTGGCCCCTAGCCCTGCCAGTGTAGCAGAAATGATGACGGATGATGATGCAGCAGCAGCCGTTCTTCTCTGCGTGAGTAGCTTAATGTTGTTCGTGTGTAATTTACGTTGAGTAGGCTAACCACGTTATTACATTAATGCATGTAAGGTGAACTAGCAAACATCATCATAGCTACATGCGGCTGTCCTCTTGTTTGATGGCAGATACTCCCTTCACCCTGGCTAAAAAGGCTAAAATGACCAAAGAAAAAGTGGGAAACAGCTAAACATGAGAGGTTTAGGACAAAGTTTGTGTTTTTTTTTCATTGTTTAAGCACTGCTTCCAGCCAAGAGTGATACCATATATGACCCATAGCTGCAGAAAAGGCTAACATTGTTATCTTTTTACAAAAAAAACAGCTGAACACGAGAGGTTTTTGGACAAAGTTTGTGTTCTCCGTTCTTTAAGCACCGGTTTGAGTACCGTTTAAGCACCGGCACCGTTTCAAAAGTACCGGTTTGGCACCGGTATCGGATAAAACCTAAACGATACCCATCCCTAGTAGCAACATGCCGAAGTAAAACTGTGCAAGAATCACTCTGTGTTACATTTAATGGACATTAAACTAGGGATGCACTTAAATCCTGCGGTCTGCTTCCATTAGTGAATTCCACACTTCACTGTTGCATTATTTTTCACAGTAATAAAGAGGTAATTTGTGGTATTATATAAGTAAAGAAGCTGATTTTATAGTATGTCTTCGTACCAGTTAAAGCTCATGCCTGTGCTGTTGTTCTTACTGCATTCAGTGCATGTAAATCAAAAACATTTTGAGAATATTAAAGGATCTCAAAACTGTCTTTGTAACTGTCCTGTTAAATCTCTCACATGCCACATTTTTTCTGCCCTCTCAGGCTGTGTCACCAGACGGGGAGGCCATCGTTACAGGAGCGGGAGACGAGACACTACGATTCTGGAACGTCTTCAGTAAGACGCGCTGTACCAAGGTAGAGTAAATTATCCGAGAACTTTATATTCTTAATTTCTGAAAATGAGTAAAACTTGATGCATTTCAATGTGCTTCACACTGTTTTGATGTATTTCTCTTCCCAGGAATCAAAGTCAGTACTTAACCTCTTCACGAGAATACGATAGTAAACGGCCCGGGGGTCGGGACGGTCCTCTGGAGGAGCCTGCCGGGGTGTGGCTGTAATACACAGAGTCAAACAACGACACTCAGACTAGCCTCGCCGCACAAACTCTCATCCTTTTCTACAAAAGGATGGAGGCAAAACTTCCACGGACAACTGCCATCCCTCACAGTGATGTCACCGATTCCAGAAAAAAATAACACACACACAGAAACGGCAGTCTTTTGTCACAATTTGTTGTCTGCTTCTCAAGTTGATCTCGTTCTTTTTTTTGTTGTTGTTTTTTCCTGTTGTGAAAAGTGATCAAGTCGTTTTCTTATCTATCAGCAGAAGTACACCTGTGCAAGAGTTCTAAGCTAAATAATGTAATGTAAGATGTTTTTAAGAGGCGCTCCTTTGTAACAGAGAGAAGATAAAGCCTGACCTGGGTGGTTTTCTTTCATTAGATAATGTGTGAATATGATCTACAGCAGTATGCAACAGAAGAGGGAACCACAAATAAGTGAACAAACACGACCGGTTGCTCAGGTGGCTGCAGCAGAGTTTCATGTGTTTATTGTTGTTTTGTCAGTGTTCATAGACACGAAGCACAGGTTTGGAACCTTGCGCATTCCTGCCTAGAGATACGAAAATGCCACCCTGACTCTTATCTCATTTTATCCTGCTTTGGATATTTTATTAAAAAATATGTCGCACAGAGACTCGATTATCTTATAAGTGTCCACTCAGTGTGTCTGTGGGAGCGTCTTGTTTTCCAGTCGTGCTTTCTTAAGTCTCATTTAGCACCAAAGCGTTTCTGAAAACGAGGATGAGCTGTGGGCCTTTCTCAAAGACCCGGTGAGGAAGTCGGATGCAACGCTGGCAGCTCCGACTAGTAATCTGAGTATCCAGAGCCCTGCGGACCTCGGCAGAGCAAAGCGAACTCCTTCACAATCTCCTTAACGCGACGCTTGTTGGTTTGTTCCCTTAGAGAGGGAAAAAAAAGAGAACAGATTTTGCTGTTGGACAGATTTGTATTTGAAATCATCTCCAAAGCTCATTGATCATAAAATGTCATTTTATAAATGGGCCAAATATCATAAAGTCATGTCTCACATCCTAATTTGGCATCAGTAATGTTTCGAATGCGTTCACATTACATGCCGATACTTTTGTGTCTTTATCGTGGAATGAAACAAGTTTGTAACACAGCAAAACTACAGACAACACATTTAAAAAGTTTTTGTTATTAACAATTATTTTTAATGTATACAAACACCAAGTCTGTTTTGTTCCATTTTGCCATCGATGAACATTACACTTCGGTCCATGATCTCTTGGACGATACAGCTTTTGCAGTTTTGCCTCTGAACGCCAGCACAGTGGATTTTAAATCAAGCAATAGAGATGTGATTAAAAGGCAGACTTTCAGCTTTAATTCGAGGGGTCTTATAAACGTTTTGCATTCACTCTTTATTAATTACAGCCATTTTTAAAGGCTCAAAGAGAGATTGGAAACTGACTGACAGCAGTATCCTGGTCAGGTGAGGCTTGTTTCATTGTTATTTCATGACAAGTGAAGCAGACAGATTATCTGAAGTTGACTTTGTATTATATATCTTTTGACTGTAATTTTAAATATGAAGCACAAGGAGAAGTCTGTGCAAGTTGGTGAGGACACCATTAGGCTGAAAAAGTTAAATAAACCTATCAGAGAGAGAACAACTTTGAGAGGTGTAAAATCTACTGTATGGTTTATTTTTAAAAAGCAGAGGAATGCACTGGACAGCTAACCGACACCAGAAGACCACATGATGACTAAATACTTTCATGGTCAGGAAAAACGACTCGACAGCATTCTCAATGTCTACAATCAAGACACACTTTCATGAGTGGAAATGCAGAGGATTTACAACAAGGCGCAAACCACTGGTTACATTCAAAATGTGTTAAACCCTCGAATTAAAGCTGAACCTCTGCTCTTGAGTCATATCTTGACTGATTTAGAAACCACGGTGGTGGAGAACAGAGGAAAAACGACAAAACAATAAACAACTTGTCCATTAACCGAATAGGTAATACTTCTCTACCACTTGGTGCTGTACTTTACCTTAGAAGCTGCTGACTGAAGGTGTGTTTCTGCTCTGCAGTGAGCTGGGCACAGGGGAACCCTGGGGTCTGCAGTGTTTCTTTGAGCCACTGAGACAGCAGGGCCGGGCAGTGCCTGCTTAGATTGAGCAGCACCTCAGAGAAGTGCTCCGTCAGACTGCTGGGAGACTCACCTCCAACCGCCTGAGAGAGGAGGAAAAATGTACAATATGTTAGCATTAAAAGACAAATTCAGTGCCAGAATGAAAAAAGAAACCCATGGGTTTAACGAATTGAGGTGGACGCTCCGATACTGTCACTAGTTTACCTGCAGAACGGTCTCTGTCAGGAGCTTTCCATCCCTCTGCAGCACATCACCAAATGAGGGCATGTCTTTACAGCGACTCAGGAACTCTGTCTGCCAGGAACAAGGTAGAAAAGGTGAGAAATTCAGTTCTGACAAGAAACATGATGTTATATGAAAGTCTGCACATTTTTTGCCTCAGCTTACAAAGAACTGGCTGGCAGCTTTTACTGTGGGTGTCTCTGGAAACTTGAGTGACAGAATCCCTGCAGACAAACATGACTGATTCAGCGAGTGACTCACACAAAGGCACTTTTGCAGGAACTGTAAAAACAATGTAAAATTTTCTTTTCATGAGCACGCGGTGATACTCACCACAGTAAAACAGTGCTTTCACATCGAACTGCTCAGACAGATACAAATCAGGCTTCCTTTTAAGAATCTAACAGACGAGAAGACATGGGTGTTGTAGTCAAACAATGAATTTCTTTGACGCTCCTAAACTCGCACGGCTTCCACCAACCTGGGCGTGAAGGTCCATAAACGATTCAGCAATGTCAGGATGATCTCTCGGACCTGCCGAGCAAGCACACGGTAAGAAAAGCCCTGATTCAAAACAGGTGCATTTCCACGCAGCCTCTTTTTACCTTGCTGAAATATAGTGAGCGTGGTGGATGTTAACACTTCAGTGAGGCTTCTGATGTGAGGGATGTGATGCTCCTCTCCAGCAAATATGTGAACCATCTTTAAAACATACAGAAACAAAGAGACTGACATCTGAGCCTGCGAGAGTCTGTGTCAGAGTCAGAGGAGTAATACTTTAACTCTGGCCTGTGTATGCGGAGGTGTACCTGCCGAGCCAGGTCCAAAGCCGAGGCTTGTGGGAAGGCGCTATAGATCTCCCCCAGCATCTCTCCCAGCTGAGGAACCATGGGTCCAAAATCATGTAGGAGGGTTCGAACTGATTTATCAAAAACCCCACACACTGCCTGGTAGAGGGGGGCGCAGTGGGCATGTGTGAGTCATGAAACACACATACACACGTTTATGCAAGAGGTGAAAACCCTCCTACCTCTACCACCTCCGAGTCATGGAGCCATTTGCTGAGGATGGTCTGGATCAAAGTGAAGACTTGTTGCAGCACAACGACCACCTAAGTTTACGAAAAAAAGAAAAGAATAGTTTTTAATTAAAAAATATTAGCATAAGAAGTTCTATATATGAACTTTAACACTTTGTACCCACAGGCATAGTGGGTTTTCTAACTGTTCTCTGCTAATCAAGCTGTTGTTTTTCCTCTGAACTTACTGGGTTTTGCGTGCTCTGGGGGACTGGGAGTCTGGAGCTGGCTGCTCCCTCTAAGCAGTCTGCCTGCCGATTGATGTCCAGAGTGGTAAAGAGACTGGCCAGCATCCCCACAATGTGGATGATGCTCTGTTTATTAGCGGGATTCAGCTGTGGGGAGAGAGAAGGTACATGGGTCTGATATGTACAGCATAGCTTGAAAAGCTTAAAAAATAAAGGACAAGTAACTGTCAAGTGTCAGAGTGAAGCCGCTGCTGTTACTGTAAAAGCTGTGTTAAGAATCTGAGTGTGAAAAGATGTTTTTAACATCTTAACTGACAAACTGCGCATCGAAATGCATTTTATCTGTACTCTAACAACTCTGGATTACTTGCTGTGCTCTATTTGCAAAGGAAGCATTGTTACTCTTTCTAAATGTGGATATGTTATATAACAAATGACTGTTTGTGCACTTTCATCGCTGTTTTCACTTGTTTGTCAGTGCTTTAAACTGGAGGGAGGACGTGAGTGGAAAAACGCTGATGTCACATTCACGCAGGATTGTGCAACAGTGCAATCAAAATGTGATGACAGCTGTGGGGTTGCCCCCATCAGTTTGAATTTAAAAAAACACTCAGACGCAGAGCTGCTTCAGAAAAACAGAAAGTTCTTCTTTTTTCTCTCATGAAGTAAATGATGAACTAATCAAACTAATCACACTAATATCTCTTTTACTTCAGACCAAATTGTCACCAGCATTAAAAAAACAGCAAGGTCACCCAAACAATTCGTAGGCATCAGCACCTCTTCTGTAATTGTTGATTCAGTATCACATTTGTATCAGTTACAATGTAAGAATTTTCACTGTTAAAATAAAGGACGAGACTTGCCAAAAAAATACAGTACTATGCTTTATATAATAGAAGCTTACCAGTATAATTATCAGTACAACTGTATGTATCTGTATCTATCATGCAATGCAGAGTCTTCACTGTTGATTAGTGTTTGCACTCCATCCTGGCATTTACATACAATGATGTGACAAAGAAGTTGTTCACAGGACTCTCTGCAGTCCTGTGGACACTGAATCAAGGTGCTTCAGTGTCTGTGGACACTGAAGCACCTTGATTCTTTCCTTTTGCAGTTAATCTGTTTTAGATTTGCTGCTGTGTTTGGGATCATTGTCCTGTTGCATGACACAGGTTGGGCCAAGCTTTAGCTGTCAGGCAGATGGCCTCACATTTGTCTCTGGAATACTTTGGTATGCCTACGAGTTCATGGTCGACTCATTGACTTCTGCATGGTCCTGTAGGTGTGAAACATGCCTAAGTCATCACTCCATCACCGTGCTTTAGCGCTGGTATGAGGTATTTGTGCTGATATACTGTGTTTGTTTTTTGACAAACATGATGATGTGCTCTATGGCCAAACATTGTTTGTTTGAATTAGGACATTGTTCTAGAATTTCATTGGTTTGTTAAATTTAATTTTTTCAGATTGTGAATAATCGTTCTCACTGTTTAATGACGGACGTCAGATTGTTTGGAAATAGTCTTGATGGGCAGCTATAATTGCTTCTCTAAGATTATTGCTGGCTGCTTTCGTGTTTGCCGTTGTGTTAGCACACACCTGAATGTTTCAGAGCAGCAAACTGCCAAACCTGCTGCTTTTATAGAGGTGCTCACACTTGCTGATGATCAGCTAATCACACGATGATGTGATTAGCAGCACTTAGCAGTACCTGTCACTTTAATTCCTGTGGTTGTATTAAGGATGGACTTAGGTTTTCATATGACTGCATATCGATATGGTTTCACTCAAATTGCACTGATGACGGTTTGTAGCTGAAACGTGGATTTAACATTGAGAATTTATACTAATAGGTAAGTGATGGTGTTTTGTCTGCTATATGTTATTAAGACTGGTCACCCTATACAGTAAACACTGGAATAAACCATTACAGACTATTACACATATACAAACACACTCAAAAGAAACCAGACACTAATATTCTGTAGAAAATATACAAATATTGCTGCTCTTACTTTTTCTCAAAGGCTTCAGGATGTTCTATATTCAACTGGATTTACAAAGAATTGTAAACTATAGCATTTCCTGTATTTTTTTTAAACATCAACTTACTAAAGCATATAATTATTATTATTTTTACATTTACCTCCTGCTGGGCCAGTGTATCCAGCTGCTGGATGTGAGGCGTGATGAGTGAGTGCAGTCTCCCTAAAATCTCCTCTGATGGCAGGGCAGACAGCAGGAAACCCAAACCCTGCATCAGCCACATGCACTGGCTGCTCTGCACACACACACACACACACACACACACACACACACACACA